GAGGACAGCGCCATCTGATTCTGATTTGGAAGAGATTTGTCCCATGCAGTTCCTGAGGATGGTGCAGTCTGGTTCTGATAAGGAAGGGATTCATTTGATACAGTTCCAGAGGAGGAAAGCACCGTGTGATTCTGATTTGGAAGGGATTCCTTTGATGCAGTTCCAGAGGAAGCTATCTGGTTCTGAAATGGCTCAGTCACATCAAAGTAGGATGAGGGCGAGAACTGAAAGAAAGAAACGGTACAAAGGAAACACAGTGCAAAAACRATGTATGGAGTTCTGAACGTCATTGTTAACTTTCCCGCCGGCAAATTTTCTGTTATATGCGAAGGAATACAAATTTCGTCAGTTACCGTAGCTTTGAGCACTGAATTACTTTTTACCATCGGACATGTAATACAGGAATGACCCATTACCAAACGTACGTTTTTTATCATTACAGTAAAATAATTGCAGACAAAATTTACCCGTGATTTTGGGCCATGTACCGTATAACTTTGGCAGAACAGCTTTAGACCACTGGACTACGCGGCGACRAAACAGCAAATTTGCAATGAAGTACAAATTGTGAGCCTAAATCACGAATAGCTAGTGAATAAACTCACTCTTTATTGTAAACACCTAGATATGGCACTAAAGAGCGCATGTACATTTTGCAGGTTATGAGCAACAACAGACTTACCTCAGCTCACAATCAACAACCTCCACCTCCACAAAGTCAATAAGAGTGTCTGCTTCGGTGGCAGTGGAAGTCGAATGCACTGTATTGGGAATCAGTGATCAATATTCAACAATAACCTCACACCTACTAATATATACTAGTATATATATATATATTGTGCTAATTTGTGCGTATTACACTGCTGCCCAAGCGATAACAACCGCAGTGGTAAGAGCACTCGTTGTTGTCACTTAGATGACATAAGAGCTGCTGCGATGTTACAACACCGTCCTTTTGCCTTCTAGTTGCAGAAAAAAGTTTGGGTCGCTTGCATTTTTTGTTCGATTTGTTGTTCTTTTCTTCCTTTTTGTAACACCATTGGCAGTAAACTCTTAGCTTGGGCGACCAACCCATGACAGATGAATTAGTAATTTGTTGTGTTTGATGGGTTCTTAATGCAGTGAAGAATATGGGCATGCAGCAAAATTGGAAAATAAGAAATCATGAGAGGTGACATATTTTTTTTTCCAACACAAATGATTGTTTMRAAGGCTAGTACTACCAATATGTGATATCTTGCACACGATGAAAATAGGCCAGTGACCTTGGAGGCTGGAGGAGAAGCCTCCTCTGGGGCCTTTAGGCTGGGGGAAGGCTTGGTGGGTCCCTCTGGGGAGGGGGATCCTTACTGGTTGGATCCGGAGGGTCCTTATTACCCTTTGGGTTGGGCCCGGTCATGGTTCCTGGTAGTTTGATGGTGCAAGTCTTAGTTGGCTTGTGTAGGATGCAGTACTAATTCTAAGTATAATTTTCAATAGAGAATCGTATCTTCGTGCAAAGATGAAACACGGCTGCGTTTGAAAAATTTCGTTTTGAAAATTATATGTCATCYGAGGATGTTATACTATGGATCACCATTGTTGTTTTGAATAGTTGTTTGCCTTTTTAAAATGGAAGCAAGGAATGCTGTCATTTAATGGGTTGAAAATTCATGAGGAACTTATAGCAGGATTGTTTTTATTGTAATTTTTGCCTTGGTTGAAATAATTTTCATTTCCTGTTGGAACAAAAATCAAATTAAAACCAAACAACAATTGCCAAACAGTCTCAAACTATGCATGGCCTTGTTACCAGACACAGTGCTAATAAGATCAGCACCACCACAAAAACTAGTACTACTTGTGCTGCTGCTACTACTACCAGCATTGGTGCTACTACTAGTTGTAGCAAGGAAAAAAGGCCATGGGTAACAAACAGTGGTAGAGCTGCTAAGCGACCAAAGGAAAAAGTCCTGACAGGAACAAGGGTAGGAGGTTAAACCAGTAGCACAGGTAGGGAGGAGGAGAACAGGAACAACAAAGAAAACATTTCCAGCAATGCTACAACAGGTGAGTCTAATGGTGAAGAAGATAAGGAAAAGGACCAMAAGAATGACAATGACAACAAGAATGACAAAGACAACAACATTGACAATGATGACAACAATGAAGATTMAAATTCCCAATCCCTGGATAATACTATTGTATAGAGTTGGCATGCAAATGTACGTCCCAGTCGTAGATTTTTGGCTATCTAATTACCATGTAACGACTYGTGGGATTCAAAATTTAACTTGTACTACCAGTACAGTGGGGCAGGTGCTGAATTTTTGAATCCCACATTCATGCAACCAAATAGTTTTGCGCCCACTTGCAAAATAGTTTTGCTTGCACGTGCACGCTGTAGCCCTGGTACAAGTCAAATTTTTAATCCCACGAGTCATTACACAGTAAAAAGATGGCCAAAAATCCCTGCACAGTACAAAATACACATAGAGGGTTAACTRGGGTACAACTCACTCGAACAGCCATAACTTTCCCCCCAACGGCCGCTTAAGTATGATAAGCACATGGTTAAAAAGAGAATTCAAAGAGCTCTCTAACGGCGTGGGGGAGTACGGCGTACAACGAATATTGACTGATATATGTTTACGAATATATTGAATTGCTAATGTACGACTGGGTCAGCCAGAATCACTCCGCCAAAGCCATACGATAGTCATAACTGATCCAGAGTAAATTAAAGAATTCCATCAGTACATGACAGATAAAATCTTTCCAGACTTCCAATGGACAGCACACCAGAACCACCAGCCATGTCTCTGCCAACAAGCACCAATCAGGAAAGAGGTTCTTAAGCACAGAACTCGCTGAAGCACTGAAGGGTGAGGTGTCTACACAGAAATTGGTACATGTGAGGAATAGTTGGTATGTAAGCCTCAAGTTTCCATCTGACAGTGTCATCCCATTGTGAATTGGATGGTGGTGGTGGTGGTGGTGGTGGTGGTGATGATTTCATTTGTCCTTCTATTTGAGAAATGTTGTAGAAGTATTGAAATGAGAACCTTTGTTTCAAAGGGGTGTAATAGAATATGTAGTGATATCAATGACTTTCCCTAGTACTGGTACTAGTAATTTCATAGTGAACAAGTAAACAAATTCATTTCCTCTGGATCAGTTATCATGACTACTATACTACTACTACCCTGGGATTAAAAATTGAATCTTCATTGTTCTTGTCACCATTGTCCTTGTTGTCATTCTTGTTGCCCTTTTTTTGTCCTTTTCCTTATCATCAATGAGGGTAGAGCCTTCTGTTGTGCTTTTTAATAATCATGTTTCCACACCTGASAAGTTTATGTACTAGAGGAGTGGTCATTGGAATACCAGTTACAGCTGAAAGCATTCTCAAATCACCTCTATTTTTTTGTKGGATATTTCTAATCGCATCCAGATCTGATAGTGGTCTTGCTTTCCTCCCATCACCACAGCTCTTTTTTCTATGGGGCACATCATCAGCAGAGCAATCAACTGGATCAAAAGTCTCATTGTATTGCTTCCAAATCCTTGCAATAGTCTTGGTTGTTAYGTGGAACATTGCTGCAGGTTCTCTCAGAGCTACATTACTAGAAAGAGATTTTCTGCAAGGAGTTCAATGTTGTGGAAGGAACTGCTGGATTGCTTGTCTTTGGTTGATGGTCAAGTTCTTGCTCTTACTGGTTGGGGGTCTAGCAGCAGGGTGAGATATCATTATTTTGCTGTTGAAAAGATGTTACTACAAAAGATGTGGTTTAGAAAAGAATGAAGCTGAAAAGTGACGGAACAAATGACAAAGCAGTAAGCAAATTCACACAGTACTACAGAGAGACAACCAATCATATGTTGTTGATTGATTGTTGACATTACTGGAGGCAGCCCCCCCCTCTTAGTGGAGGCAAAAGAGATGCAAGGCAAGTCAATGGAGCCCCCCCCTCTTAGACAAAGGAGATGTGAGACACAAGGCAGATCCCCCTGGCAGCATGCTTTGCTTCCTTCATACTATTGCTACTAGCAAAGAAGAAGGACCAACCAGAGGTGCATGTTGCAATGTGAATTTTGTCAAGAACCTTTTCATGAACAAAGACTTTATTTGTCAAGAGTTAAGAGATTGTTTATGGTTTCATATCATGCAACCCCAAATTGTATACACATCACAGTTGGTAAACAAGTAGAACTAGTAGTAAATAATGATGTTTGAATCATTATTACACCTTTCCAATAGTTATGTTTACTAATGCTCAGGAACATTTTCGGAAATAAGTCCCAGATCCATGTCAGAGTCATAAAATTTTTGAAGTCAACCCCTGATGCCAAACTCTTACCTATTGACCAATTAACAATACTGTAACATTGTAGTCACCAACTCTGCACACCAAAAAATCAGTTCAAGTACTTGGTGTATAAAGAAAAGAACCTTCTCTGAGGCCCAACTCTGCTACAGTATTTCTCAAAATCTAGGTTGGCAGAAAAAAATTGATTCTTTTTAGACGAACTGACAAAGACTTCGAGAAAATTCTTAGCTACAAATGTGTGGATTCCTTCTATCATTGAGCCATCATGCCGAAACTATGACCAAGTCGTTGATACCGGTGCGATTTTCCCACTCATGCCGTTCCAGTTCTGGTGTGCTGTTATCTTCCTCCGGCCAACCGACACACAGATATCCCACCAATGTCCAATCTGACGAAACTCCAAGGTCTTTGGTCAAACGTACTGGATCGAGGATTGATACCCATCCAACGCCAAGACCGACGCACCTCGCGGCAAGCCAAAATAAGGTGATGGCGGAAACGACCGAATACCGTCTCATTTCAGGCATCGACTGTGCCCCTAATCCCGATCCCTTGATTGTTCCATCGTCACAATAAATAGCAAGGTGGACTGGCGCTTCCTTCATCCCAGACAATTTGAGTGATGCATATTTTTGCTTTTTGTCGCCTTCGTATCCCTCCAGGGCCTTTGTGTTTTGTTCCTGGAAGTTGGTAAATGCTGCCAATCGTGATTCCTCGCTGTTGACACGTACGATGCGCCACGGTTCTGACAAACCAACGCTCGGTGCAGAATGGAAGGCAGATAACAGAGCTCGGTTAAGAATGTCTTCGTCCACTTCCTTTTCCTTTTGGAATCGGCGCACATCTCGACGCCAATGCATTAATTCCTCAAACTCAGATTGAAAGTCCGCAGAGAATTCCCGACGAAATCCGGGATTTCTGTCCGATTTCGTTGCGTCTGATGTCAAAGATGATATATTGGTATCTTCTGGACTCGTCCACGCGCATAACTGTGATGGAAAATCTAATTGTACTAGCGGTCTATGTGTCTTATTATTTCTCAGCGGAAACGCAAACACCCAAACAAAGGAAAATGAAAATGAATGCATAACAACAATGCATATAGASCTCATAATTTTGCGACTATGAACCATTTTGCGGGTGTTTAGTAGTGCAGTTGTCTCTATGGTGTTGAAGGGAATCTATTTGTACGGTGTCAGCCAAAATATGTTGTCAGTGATTCTGCCGATATCATGGATGTGATGATTGTTTTCATGAAATCCGCAAAACTATCGATGATTGATGATCGTCACGTGGTGATCACAGATGCGGTTTCACACAGGATACGGTAAGGTACCATACCGTACAGTTTAGAGCTATTAATGGTAAGTCCCGTACTGGCAAGTTATTGGCAATTCCCATACAAATGCTAGTAGAAATTTTTAGCTCATTTTTTCAGTTAAAAACCGTTATATTAACTGTCAATTCAATAAAGGCRGTTAAAAAATGGTCCATCAACTTCTGAAAAAATTCTGGCGCGGAGAATGGCTGCAGTCCGCGCCAGTTTTTTTTCAGAAACTTCACCTGTTCACTYAGTACAAAACAGTGCACTACCATTACCTGCGCATGATTTTTTCCGGAAATTGTGCATCATTTTTTTATGAACCGGACAGGAAAAATACAGATAACACTAGTACAGAAACGGAAATAGTAGTACAGAAATGCAAACAGCAGCAAACAGATAGAAAGAGCACCAACCAAAGCTCACCTAATTCTGASATTGAAACCATGGATAGACTATCAGTACTAGTAGAGCTCCCTCAGTTCCATGATACCATGGTGGAGGACTTTGAAGTTGCTCTCCAGATTGAAGATGAAGCAAGTCAGAAGAAGAGCATTCAGGATTTGGAGCAGCAATACAAGACAATGAATTGGGTCACCAAAGGCCTGACTAATGAGATCCAGTCTCTCTTCCCTACCGCAAGTGACATAGATCCACAAAACAACAATGAAAGAGACTTGTCAAAGTTCAAGGATGCAATGGAGAGGTTCTGCATACTAAACCGGAGGTTTGCTTCTGCATACCAATTTCACCAGGTCATGAAAATACTTTGTTCAAAGTGGTCTGTCAAGTTTGTGCACACTAGCAATTCAATTCAGTGCCATTACCGGCCACCCAGGAAGGGAACAAGGTTACATGCCAATCCTATGAAGCGCCAGAAACCAAGGCAAGCCCCTAATTACAACTGCCCATTTGCAATTAAATACTCAATCCCTGGAATCAAAGGTAGCACCAAACCAAKGATTCTTCTGCCAGTTAAAATCACTTATGTGAATCTGCACCACACATGTCCACTCAACACTGTTTGTTACAGGTTTGCTGTGTGCAGATCAGGATCAAGAGTTGTCAACTTGGACTCAATGCAGGACATTCTCTCTCTAATTCAAGTGAATCCAACCATGTCTGCAACAGACCTCCGGCCATTTCTTGCTAGGCATCTGCCTCCACCACATGCCCCACTAACAGCACAGTATCTTGTGAATTTCCGCAAGAAGGCCATCAAGTATCTAGCAGTGTATGGCAACAAAGAGGTTACAGAGCAAGAAGCAGCACAGTTACTCAGAAATGGAAACACTGAGGAATCAATTGGAACAGATGCATCAATTAAGAGGAAAGAAATTGAGAAACTTCTATCTAATGTCATGACAAAGGGAGACATCTGGGCAGTAGTGGATTTCTTGACCAACTCAAGGAAACGCAACCTCTCTTTTGCTATTCCATGAAGAAGAATGGCTCAGGTCAACCAGAAGCAATTATGTGGTGCACTGCTGAAATGCGCCGCAGTCTCATCAGGTACTTTTCAACTTTATTTTTGGATATGAGAAAGACTGCAACTAACAATATTGGCTGGAATTATTTTGGTCCTACAGTGTTGGATTCTGAAATGAAAGTGCGGGTTGTTGCTGAGTGCCTCTGTTGTGTTGAGTCTAATGAAATGTATGCATGGGGTATGTCACAGCTTCCAAAATTTGAACCCAATTATAGCCTCTCATCCACCAGATTTCTCTTTACAGACCAGCTAGTGACTGGGGAGCTCCTTCACATGTTATCAATCACTGACTCTTGTACACTGAGAATTGATCACCATCATTTGTTTCAGAGTGTTTTCCCAGATTTTTTTGGAGAGAGACTATGGGAACAGCAGCTCCAACCCATCATCCGGACAATGCTTGGGGCTGGGACAGAAACCTGTTGGGATGAGTGCTATCAACAGGCAGTGAGAATCATCCACTGTAATRACACTCACTTTGAATACCTGCAGAGAATCCATTCCATGCCTGAAACCTATTCCATGTGGCATATTAAACAGTTCAGAGGGAACCTAAATCTGAGAAGCTCAGTACCRGCTGAGCAGAACCATGCAAGTGTCAAGGTATTTCTGGGCAGAGGCGGAACATTGTCTCTGCTTGAAAATGTGAAGAAACTTTTTGACCGCCACATAGAGCATGCTAACCAGAGGAGCCAAAACGCAAATGAACTCTTTGTTAGAAGTACCAGCTACAAATCTCATCACCTTGGGAACCTAAAGTTGATTGACTGTAAAGCTAAAAAGACATTGTCACACCATGCATACATGATGCATCAAGAGATCCAAAAGGCTTCAAAGTACCTTCAATGGAAATTGGAAGATGGGGTGGTGCATTGCTTTCGAGCTGACAGTGATGAGTCATCCCACAGATCAGTCACATGGGTTGAAGGCAGTAGATGTAAATGTTGGCGGTCACACAATATGGAYCTTCAGTGTCAGCATGAGTTGACGGTTGATGGAGAGTTTCTTGTTCACAAATTTGGAGACCGGTGGTTGCAGGATTACCAATACAATAAACTCCATCCACCTTACTCTAATCTTCTCATTTCTCCTGAAGAGTTACCAGTGTTGGGAACAGCTGTTTCTGATGATGCAGATTCTGATAGCGGTGGTGGTGGTGGTTATGGTTATGGCAATGATGATGATGAGCCTGAGCCTGAGAATGCGAATGTACCAACAGCAGGAACTGACTCCAAACTCACCTCTAGACAGTTGTATGCAGTGGCTCAGTCAAAATTCAACACCTTGTGGAGACTCCTRGATGGCAACAAAAGACTTCAACTCTCCTGCATTTCTGGTTTTGAGCAATACATGGAAAGAGCTCAACAGAAACGCAGCATTGAGATTGAGTCATGGGTAGGAGACCAGCCDTCAGCMCTRGGAGAACTTGGAGCTCAACCAAATGAGGATATGGATCACAGACTAGCACCAGCACTTCCAGTCAGAGGTATTATGACTGTTGCACCATCTGGAAGGTCCATGTGTAGATATAAGAGTTCACATGAAAGAAGAAAGAGATCAGCTCCAGCCCCTGTGACAGGCACAACCAACAAAACAAAAGCTTGCAGTTTTTGYAGAGGTGCTGGACACAATATTGGATTCCGGTGCCCAAGATCAATGCATGGGGTGGATCCATGCTGACCCDGAACAAGGAGCAATTCAACCAGAGGCTAGACTTTGYGAAACAGATGCGTTGCATCACATCAGCATATGCAATTTCTCCATTTCCTCTAGACAGACATTCTTCAGACGTCATCCATGATATTGGAAATGGTACCAGAGGAATTGTAATTCACAACCGGTTTGTCTCTGCTGACAACCTGCGTGTTCTTGTTGAATGCACWTTGCTGAAGGCAGAAGGAAAGCCATGTGATGTCAATAAGAATGTACTGTTTGAAGTAGAASCAGTGGAACAATTCATCTTGCGGTCCAAGGGTAATGTCATTATCTCACAATTGGTTCGGGTTGATGGTACTAATGAACTCATTCAAAATCCTACTACTACTACTACTAATACTTTGTCCCAAATGTCAAATATGTCACAGATCTCACAACCGTTTGGTTGTATGCAAACAGCTGGTGGTGACTATGGTGCAATGATAGACTTCTCAAGTGGCATCATTTAGATACTAGTAGTATTAAGATTACTACTAATTGCAGTACTACTACTAATAYTACTAAGTTCCCAGAATTTTACTACTAATGATACTACTAAGTTCCCAGAATTTTACTATAGTAATACTACTAAGTTCCAGAATTTTACTAGTAATATTACTACTACATTTCCATACTTTAACTACTAGTAATATTACTACTAAATTTCTGTACTTTAACTAGTAATGTTACTACTAAATTTCCGTACTCATTCCATCTRTCTTCAAGTACAGTTGGATTAAGGAAGTCCATCCGGCAAATATGGAACATAGGTACCATATGCTCCTTCAGCTTCTTCAGCTTACCCTCATACAATATCCTCACTTGCTTATTCACCCTATCAATTGCCTTCACAGTTGCCTGGTGATAAGACTTCTTCTTGCGCCTTGCTGTGATTGAACAATCATCACTGGATTTCCAGGTCACACCCAGCTTTTCGAGGTCACCAAATGTTGCTCTGACAAGAAMCTTTTGGCCTACATGTAGGTTGTAAGCATGCCCATGGGTGGAATAGGCTAGTTCTGCDATTGACTTCTGGTTGACCTGCCTGTTTGACCTAGGGTTGGATCCGTAGATTCCTTGTCGACAGTTACAGCT